AAATCGACCGGACCGCTCTTACAGAGACACTCTCTTAATTCGGTATAATTAGACTGGTCTTATGCAAGCAGCTTCATCAGTCTACTCAAGCAATAAAAATGAGATGTAAGAACCAGTCACATTCAAACATTCTGTACCTAAGAAGATCAATTACGTATGATAATTCTCATTAATCAAGGAAGATTCACGATAGAATCCTTTGAGAAACGCTCGACTTAAATTAACCGTGAGCGACAGTTTTGTGTGCTAGGTCTCTTGGTAGTTAGGTGATAAGCTTATACGGTTGTTGAGAGATTGCAAGGATGTGGGCCAAGTCAGACAATCACGCAACGTTTCTTACGTCCTCCTTTTGAGAAACTGAATTTGTGTGAGCAGCAAGTGTTGAATGCTCTTAATGCTAAGATTTCATTAGAAACACGAACTTCAGTTCTAGCATCGAACGGAAATTCGTCGCGTCATGTTGTTTCTGTATTGAATCATGTTTTGTGACACATTGCTGCAGTATTTCCCTTTTATCTCCGAACGTAAAGAACTTCGTTCAAGTTACATTGCCATCTGTGTCTTCAATAATCTCCTAACTTATACCGCTGTCATGTTGAACATTGTTACGATGCACGCCATACGAAAATCTTCGTCGTGGCCAAAGACGACAAAGACTTTGCTTTTGAGTCTGGCTGTTTCTGATGTCGGTGTTGGTTTATTTGTTCAGCCTTTCTACACATCACTTCTGGTCAGCTGGCTGCAGAAAAACAGCCCAACTTGCTTCTCTTATCGTATGTTTAGTAACGTTGGTCTTGTATTTTCCCAAGCTTCATTCCTGGGTGTTGTGGCCGTTAGTTTAGACAGGTTCTTAGCTGTTCATCTTCATCTCAGATACCAGGAACTTGTGACACACAAGCGCGTTGTTGCCGTGGTGACTTCAATATGGGTCTTGAGTGCATTTGTTTCGTTTATAATATTAAGTGGTCTGCGTGTTATACAGATCGCAATGCAGTCCATTGCAGTACTAACTGGTCTTGCTGTGACCACAGTGGTTTATATTAAGCTTTATTTAGTCGTGAGGCGCCATAAAACTCAGATCCATTCCTTGCAAGTAGAAGGAGTTCCGTCTGGTGAAATGACACAATTAGCTGGCCTTATAAAATCTTCAGTTAGTACATTTCACGTGTATGTAGCGTTTTTGGTTTGTTATTTGCCTTACTGGATCTGCTTGACTGCCGTGAGATTCAACGGTCCGACCACAACATTGAAAAGATTTCATCTTTTCTCATTGATTCTTATTTTCGTGAATTCATCTCTGAACCCTGTAATTTACTGCTGGAAGATGAGACACATCCGACGCGCTATCATGGATATACTACGGAATATGGCTTGGAAAATTAGCCTACACCGAGTGTAGCAAAGGGAAGTCCTGAGCCAGTTTTACGCATGGATTAAAGAAAAATGTAATCTTCAAGTGTGCTTTAAACAGCATTTCACGCCTCATGAATTTAAAAGGGAAAACTTCTGATCTCTCTTCTGGTGTGCGAGCTTTTAGGAAAAGATTGACTGGTCACGTATATTTCAAGAAGCAAATAACGGCTCGAGCTGGTTTATGAACTCACGGATTACGCTCGCCTTGCTTCGCATTCCATATTCATTTTGGCTGTAATCACGCGTCGCGCACAAAGCCTTCGCCATTCTCATGACTGTTGCCTTCCTTGTTATTGAACAATCGTTCAGCAGTGCTTATGTTACTGGCTGAACCCTTCCGTGTATGTAACGAACACGAATTGCATGCCATCTGCAGTTGGCGTATTCCTGGACAAGCGCAAGACATAAAAGTCGAAGTGCAGAAGCAAATCATAAATCTACAGTTTTTTTTCAGTGTAAATTTTTTTTTTAATAATCAGACTAGCTTTTGCAGTACAGCACAGCTTTTTGTGTTCAGAAAGAGGAACGTAGAGGAAATGACTTCTGAAGAAAAAATCTTTAATTTTTAGTTTTTTTATGTGTGAGATAAATTTTGGTTGTATGCTCGCATTCAGGTATACTTTCACTTTCCTTTATGATGTTGTCCTATTTGTCTGATTTCTTAATCAAAAGGATCCAGCTTTCTATCGCCTTTTGTCACATGGCTCACTTAAAGATGCCTGTTGTAACATATTTGTTTTTCAAAATTAGAAACCATAAACCAAAATGATGTTTTTTTTGTAACCGCTCATCGGTTTGACGAAGGGTGCAATCGCGAAATGAAGGTGTCATAAGGAGCATTTCTGAAACAAATAACCTAATTAATGAGGTGGAATTCATAGTAATGGTTAATTGATACAATTTTAAGGCATTTTGAATAGAGGTGGGAAGGTCTAAATAATTTATTTAAAGAAAGAAATTTTGATGTTAACATCGTAAGACAAGTAATTCACCGAAAGTTTCCTTGGAGAATTCAGCTAGACTCGTGGCCCCATCATGATGGACGAGTTGCAGTGTGAGGGCTTTTTTAAGTATTACCCGTCTCCTCTCCAATTAAAAGAACTTCGATTAACTTTCATTGCCAACTGCAGCATTAACAATTTTCTGACGTATACTGCTGTCATGTTGAACATTGCAACAATTTATGCGATACGGAAAACTACATTGTTGCCAAAGACTTTGAGAACATTACTGCTGAGTCTCGCTGTTTCTGATATTGGCGTTGGTTTATTTGTTCAACCATTTCACTCATATTTTTTGGTCATTTGGATGCAACTCCAAAGTCCCAGCTGTATAACTTACCAAATAAACAATGTTGTTACCATGCTATTTGCGGTTGCTTCTTTCCTGGGTGTTGTGGCTCTAAGTGTAGACAGGTTCTTTGCCATCCATTTTCATCTCAGATACAATGAGATTGTGACTCACAAGCGCGTTGTTGCTGCAGTGAGCTCAGTTTGGATCTTCAGTGTTTTCGTTTCTTCAATGAAAGTGTGGTGTCCTGTTGATACTGGGAAGATTGTTCTTTTGGTTATTGCAGCTACAGGTCTCGCTGTTATCGCTGTTGTGTATACCAGGGTAAATGTAACTGTTCAACGGCACAAGAATCAGATTCAGTCCATGCAAGTACAGGACGTAGCTCAAGCCAGTGATACCAATAATTATTTCGGCCAAATCAAATCTACGGTTTGTGTATTTTACGTATATATCGTGTTGTTAGCGTGTTGTTTTCCATACACTATTTGTATCGTTGCGATTCAAATCAATGGCCCGACTATATCTTTAAAAGGATTTCATATTTTTTCCCTGACTCTGGGACTCCTCAATTCATCTCTAAACCCTGTAATTTACTGCTGGAAGATGAGACACATTCGACGCGCAATCGTGAACATACTGCGGAACATGTCTTGGGCCATAATTTTCCCATTACGATTACACAACAATCGATCGTCGAATGTCGTACATGTTGAGAACTGAACGGCAAAGCAAATCGAGGGAGGACGAACGAGAATGTTCAGTATTGAGACAGACTGATACGAAGGTGCTGGAACAATTTTGCAACTGCAATTTTTAATTAAGTATTTTATTGTCAAATTACATGCCAAACGGTAAAAGAACTAATCAGACAATAGTCACAGAGTGGAGTCGGAGTGAAACAGGATTGCTCGCGTCATTTTCGATAGACATTGAAGTTGCGGACATTTTTAAATAAAAATTAAAGTAACTTGTTTGACGTGTTAAATAGCGTTTTTTTTTTTATCTGAATATCAAAGAACAGATGGTTTCCTTCTTCCATGGAAAAGAAACTTCTCTGTGGCATAAAAAGGAAATCAAAATTGTCTTTTCCGACTTCGAACTTTGTCTAAATTTTTAGCTACACAATAGTTGTTCGTGTCATACCTTGACGGAATAAAAAGTCGTTTGTTATGGATACAACGAGCATTTATTCAGTGAGGCTTGCGTGGTAAATTTGAATAACATAAGCTTCCACTTTTGGATTACTTCGAGCTGTATTGTTTTTTTTTTCAAGTATGATGACTCCTATTTAAAGTTGCCCACCGTTTGTAAAGGCGTTTAATTTTGGAAAGAGAAACTAAACAGAAATCGAGTTCTGTTGTCTTAAACCTTTACTCAGTAAGATAAGATGCTTGAATTCCTGTACCCTATCTTTCAGAAGTTGACTGAGAAACTTATTTTTTCAATGGGGAAAAACCAAGTAATTATGAATGGTAGAAAATTGTTAAGGACAGAAACGATGAACTGGACTTAAAAACGATTCTGTATTGATAAGATATTAAGCTATTAACATTTTTTACACCAATGAGCTTTCCAAGGACTAGTCCTCTCAAAAAAACACATTATTTATGAAAACAAGAGCAGTAGTTGGCATCATTCGAAGCCGTGTCACCATGAAGGCTCTTTGTGCCCTCCACCCCTCCCCCGTCGTCTGAAACTTCAAATTCCTAAAAAGGACTATTTCTCCTTTCTCACCCTCCATCCTGTACGGAAACTCTAGAATAGTGTTCTTGTTCTTATTCCTTTAAGTTAGGTTGTGTTGTTGTACAAAGTATTCACATCTTTGAAAGCCTGTATTTGTTTTGGCTCTTAGTATCGTAGGTTTTTGATAAGGCGTGCTGTAGACAGTAATCAGTTAATCTGGTCGACTATTCAGAAAGACAATGAATCGCCTTGTGATAAGCCTTTAATCTCTAACAAATTCCTCTCTCAAAGAAGCCCTCTTCCCCCCCCCTCCCCCGCCCTGAAACCGGGGGCTAATGAGAGTGTCTATGGTAATAAGACCACAGGTCTACCAATGTGGATGCGCTTAATCCTGTTTTTTTACAGCTTAATTTAAAAAAAAGGATTGACAACGCTACTTTTATTATTGGCGATATTCGATATTTTCCTACGAAATTTCTATCCTCCATGAGCACTTTTGGATTATGTAGACCTGAAACGCCTTTTTATGATCCTCCGCGAGTCATTTACGTTCAGAGAAGCTGGCTTCGACCTCTATCGAAAACGAAAGTTTGAAAACCTAACTTTGATCGGAGTAAGTATTCCTTTACAACATCTGTTTCCTTACACGCGAATTACCGTCTACCTTTCTTGTTCGATTAACTTTGTTCGAATTCTAATACTGTGAGGTAAATTCAATTTAAGAACTCACTTTGACTTGTCAAGCATGATGCTAATTTTGTAGCCTAATTTACGAGGATTTTGACATTTTTTAAAATAATATTTGACATCACAATGAATTTTTGTAACAATGTGAACATCCGCTTATTGCCCGAAGTAAATTATCTTTACCCATCGACGAAGTACATGAAGTGAACTATCACTCAAAATTCCGAAGTAAACGACGTTTTACTATTAAGAGTAAAAGGTTATCGCCATCAAACAAAGTATTTCGTTTTACTTAAGACCTTTTCCTTATGAAGTAGAGAAAAGCTTTAGACTTAAATGTTTGATCATGAAGAAGAATTTTTGAAGCGTTGTCTTGAAAGTTTCAGTTCCCTTAAAATTCCGGATCTCCCCTTAGATTTGATACAGGTGACTTAATCATGATTAATGAACTGAAGTGTAAAGAGTTTCTGCAGTATTTCCCCTTTTCTTACGACTTAAAAAAACCTCCATTCTTCTTTCGTTGCCAGCTGCGTCTTCAATAATTTCCTAACCTATACTGCGGTCATGCTGAACATTGCGACAACGTACGCGATACGAAAAACTACATCATTGCCAAAAACGCTTAGAACACTGATGCTGAGTCTTTCTGTTTCTGATATTGACGTTGGTTTATTTTTTTCAACCACTTTACTCATCACTTTTGGTCAGTTGGTTGAATCACAACAATCCTAGCTGTAAAATTTACCGGATATTCAGTGTTGCTGGAAATTTATTTTCTTAGGTGTTGTGGCTCCAATGAATTCGTCAGTGAAGTGAGAAAAAAAATTTCAGTGAGCGAGGCGTGAAAAAATGGCGGAAAAATTGTTTTACCCCAGAGCTTACAACTAAAGAAATAATAGAATATGCGACTCCATATCCACTAAAAAAACCATTTAATTGGGTATAAAAATATTTCAAGTAACGTAATACAAAATCACGCAGTTTTTATTTGCTAAATGCGTAACAGGATTTGTTAACATTTTCGACCAGCGAAAGTCTTCCGGTCGTTGTGTGCGAATTTACTTGAACAGTTATTCTGCCCAGGCTCGCCGAATATGAGATTATTATAACCAACTCATATTCGGAGCGCCCTTTTAGAGTAATTGTTATCATAAGTAAAGTGAAAAAGTTTGCGGTCTGTCATCGTGATGAGTACACTTGTGTAATTTGTATAATCGTTTGTCCCGTTAGGCTCAAGCAAAAGACTGTAATCATTCCACAAATATCCGCAGGTGTTTCTGACCTGAAGTGAAAAAGGTGTCAGGAGTGTTTTTTTTTCATTTCGGTTCCTTTTGAATTTTGAAGAAATTGGGTAAATATAACTTTTAGTCGAATTCTAGAATTTTGAAGTGGTGAATAATATTTAAAGGTCGAAGAAAATAATCATATAACACTTTTTTTGACATACATGAAATCTGAGTTTTATTCATGGTAATTTTGCGCCTTTCACTGGCCATTTTTCAATTTTAGATCAATGAGTGCCTTTATTCTCTTAATTGCTCTATGAAAGTTTTTTTTCTGTGACAGAACATAACTGGGAACTTTTACTAGTCTGAACTCTGGATGCGCTAAATCCTGGGATCTAAAGCTTCAACCATTAGCAGTACTGCCATCAAGTATCAATTTTTTGGGGCGATACCAGATATCTTTGCTTGTAATTTCTTTAATCCACAATCAGCTTTTGGTTATCCGAATCGGTTTTTTTGCCACCTTGCGAAGCATGTGGGTGCGTTAACTTACCTGTCAATTTTGAATATAGCAATCACACTTTTTAAAAAGCAGATGTTTTAGTGTCATTACAAACTACACATGCGTGAGATTTTCAGAAACACGCTTGAGTTTCATTTGAAAGTTTCTTAATTTCGTTTCGCTTAAGATTATCGCGTTCGGTAGGGAAAAAGTTGTCTAAAGATGAAACGAGAGTGACCACTGACACTGGAACAGAAATTAACTTGGGGCAGGATCGGTAAAAATTTATTTTCCCTTGCTTCCATTCCTCTATTCATGATAATAAATTTGATATCATGGACGAATCGGTTTGCAACCAGGCAGAGTACTTTCCTTCGTACGCCGACTTTGCAGTTCTTCGCTCGACCCTTATTGCCAATAGTATCTTCAACGTTTTTTTAATTCATACCACTATCATGCTGAATATTGTCACAATCTGCGCAATACGGAGGGCTTCGACCTTACCAAATAATTTGAAAACGCTACTGATGAGCCTTGCCATTTCTGATGTTAGTGGAGGTTTGCTGGGCCAACCCGTTTTCACCGCATTTCTGGTCAGCTGGCAACGACTAAATGATCCTAACTGCAACGCTTACCGAATGCTGAATATTTCTGGGTATATGTTTGCTTCTGCTTCGTTCCTGGGTGTAGTGGCCGTAAGTGTGGACAGGTTCTTAGCCATTCATTCGCATTTAAGATATCTAGAACTTGTGACTCCAGTTCGTGTCTTTGCTTTAGTAATCTCAATATGGGTATTTAGTGCATTTCTCTCTGGTACGGTATTTTGGACTTCGGTCAGCACTCGTGATATTATTATTATAGTTACCGTAGCCTTTGGTTCAATTCTCACCATTGTGTTGTACCTCAGGATATATTTAACTGTCCGACGGCACAAGAATCAGATCCAGTCCCTACAAGTGCATGACATAAGTCAGTCTGGTGAAATGACAAATTTGGCTGGTCTTATTAAATCTGCAGTTGGCGCATTTTACATATATCTGCTTTTTTTACTTTGCTATTTGCCTTCTTCTCTTTTGATCGTTGTCATCAAATTTAATGGGCCGAGCATCGCTTTGAAAAGAGTTTATCTTTTCTCAGTAACTCTTGTGTATCTTAATTCATCACTGAACCCTGTAATTTACTGCTGGAAGATGAGACACATTCGGCATGCTATCATGGACATACTGAGGAACATATCTTGGAATAGAAACGGTCCATCGCATTCATTTGACAGACAGTCGTCTGGGTGACCAAAAAGGTGCATTACAAAACACTTCTTGGCCTCTGAGAACAGAGGCAGCAGGGAAAGACGCGAGTGTAAGTGAAACAATGAATATGAATTTGTCGCTAAGCTCCTTTGTTCATTGTTGACAGGTAAGACAGGTTCGACAACTATGATAGACTGAAATGAGGACAAGCGTAAACTGAAACTGAATCTGAAACGTAAGAATGCGACGGTGCTGAATCTCTTTGCATGTGGAATTTTTCAAATAATTTATAATGGTAATAGGACAGGGTGGAGTCCAGTTTGGTCTGTAAGTAAAGGAGTGATTACAACTTGAATCGGACGACTGCAAACAGGGAAGTCCAACTTGTCAATCACGAGTATGATTACATACCGAATTGGATGACGCGTAATCCTGTTACCAATTAATCATAACCATTACAATTGCCGAAAAAACCAATTAAATTTATTTGAGAAAATATCTCTAGAAAGGACTTTGTCTAGAGCAAAAAAACCCGCCACTTTGGAAATTCCCAGTTTTGTGGGGTAAGTGGTTGTTGCTATGGTCATTGTAATCAATTCTGTGATTGGTGGATTCAGCCGAGTGGACTTAGTATGATTGGCTGCTCTAACTGTCCGATTACGGCCAACAGTCCGATTGAACTGTCCGATTTCAACTCTACAGAATAATTAAGGAAAAACAAAGCAGCTAATGAACCAAATTACAGTTGAGGAAGTTGTAATGGTTATGGTTAACTATAACATAGTGCGCGCGCAAGTCTTACCAAATTCTTAAGGAGCTACTATGGCAAAAATCCTTATGCACGCACGGCTGTGCACCCATAACATGACATGTGCAGTTTCACTTCAGCTGAAAGTTCCCGTCGAGTTTAGCCGCACAGTTTCAAAACTTTCAAGATTGTTTTTCCGTTCTATCCCGATTTTGATGAATCTTTTACAGCCCGAAATGAAAAGAAATATGCTAAATAACACTCATTTGGAAAAACAATGGGCACGTAGCTCTTTCAAGCGACGAAATTAGTTTTGGAGTTTACGATACTTAATTCCTAAAAACACAGTGCGAATTATGGCTGGAAACAACACTGAATTTAATTTTCTGACTTCAACTGAGGCTTTGCAACGGTGGGGACTCTTCTTTAGAACGGTAAATATTATTCTGAATTGTTGATATGCCCCAAAGGTACTGTTCGATAGAAGATTTTGTTTTGAATTTTCAACACAAAGCTGCGCAATTTTCTGGCCGTAAATTCTGGCAAACAACAATTCAAGCAGGGTAAATGTACTACGCGGGTCACGAAGAACTGTTTTACCTTTGCTCCCTAACGTTAGTACGCTTTTTCTCCATACTGCTCTTCATACGTTTCCCCAAGTGCTGACAAGGAGAACAGATTCATTTAACCATCAAAATATTCTTTTCAGTTGGTAATCATTTCCTTTATTCTCAAGACCTTAATGTTTGATTCAGGACTAATAATGTGAGGAGAAATTAGATGCTAGTCACTCTAAGGGATCAAGGGGTTAAAGGAGGCATTGTACATAGCCATACAGAGCAAAACGAGTTGAAAATGTGAGCTTTTTTTTTTTCATTATCTCTGAACGTTTTCTTGTGGCCACAATATTAGTACTCATGAAATGTACTATATAATTTAACATTATTAATTATCCAAGACTATCAAACGACATGTGTATTGGTTTCCTTCTCTTTAAATTTTTAAATAGTAAAAATTGAAGCTCTAAATTGTTCCATTTCCTTTTGAAACTGACCTGAATGGCAATTTTTGAATTTAAGCTGTAGTTCCGTCGGTTATTAATTACTTGAAAAAAGGAAAGATTTACCTTTTACATGGTAAATACGAATAACAATCGTTTCTGCAGTTAATTGACTTCAACGTATAATGGCTTGTTTTTTCTAAGTCGACTTTGTTAATTTGGAGGCGTTTTATTCTAAAAAGAGGAACTGATTACAAGCGGTGGTCGTAGGTCTTAACTCGTGAATTCATATCATTGGAAGCTTGGATGCCGTAGAGATAACCTCCTGAACCGCTCAGTGTTCCATGTGGTGTCTTATTAAGTCGCATAATATCAACGTCAACACTTAGTGCTCGGGAAACAAACACTGGTAGTGGTGTGGGTGACTAGTAACTTCCGTTAACCAACAGTTCTTGTCCTCTCAGAACAGAGGCACTAGGGACAAGTACGAGTGAATTAGTCGCTGTCTAATGTTTTATTCTGCTGAAAGGTGAGGGATATTCAACACACTATCACGGAAATGTGAACAGAGGAAAGTATAACTGAAACTGGCGCATTTCGCTGTGTTAACTGTTGTTTCTTTTATCATGAAAATGTGTAGCCGATGGCTAGTTTCTCGGGTGATTATAGACTATTACCATTACAAAGCTGGTGATAACCAATTTCGTCCGAGAAATTTATCATAGTTTTGATTAGGTATGGTAATGGGACTGAGTGAAGTCCAATTCTGTCTGCAATCATGTGCAATTTATACGACATCTGACTTTCTGGCCGTCTTATTTTGCGGCATTCATCGTCCATTGGCGCTTTCTCCTCTTAAAAATTCCCGTGAATATCAGAAAGTACAAAGCGCTTGTTCTCCTGACTGCTTGGTGTAAGTCCTTTCTTTGTGACTATTTTGACTGGAAGCCTTTACTTAGAAGTGTGGATGCACTTTATTTTTATCGTTTGAAAGGAATGTCAGCATCACTTATTTTTTTTTATGGTATCTTTCCGTGAAAGTTCTAACATCCACAACGTGTTTGGATAATCCAAAACCGTAACGACTTTTGTTCGTAGCCTTGCAAACGTCTCATGAAGGTCTTCAGATACACCTTATTGTCCACCAAACAAGTTATTCACAAAAATTCAAGTTTCAGAAAAAGCAGGTGTACTAGCATCACCATAAACTGTGCGCACAAAATTCAGTAACATGAT